TACATGCTGGTTGGATGCATGAATATGGACTGAAGCACTGTATCCGAAAAGGGGATCTCTTTCCCTAATTTATACAGGCTTTAGACTTTAAGCCATCACGTTTTGAGTGCTGTAACATCTGTTTATTTTGATTATAACCTCTCCTCAGCTCTGTGCTGCCGAACGAGACGTAAAGAAAGACCAAGAATAACCACACTGAAGGCTGTTGAAAAAATACGTATTTACCTACGGGGAGGATTTATCAAAAACATATACTCCTACATCACTCTCGAACAAACAAGTAATTTAATTGAAAGACATCCAATTTATAGTCTAGGAAGATATAATCAATGGTGTGTACACGGATAAAAGGGAGATCGACCTATTGACCACGACAATATAACTCTCAGATTATCGTGACGGGCGTAGGCGCATGCTGAAAAGAAGCTAAAGGTGCCTGAATCAAAACCTGTCAGAAATCCATGAAGTTACAGAATATTTAATTGAGGCATGTTATTATGTGCAGATTGCCTGATTTCGGTCCTCGAGACAGTCGCAATCGGTGTTTAGAAACCTTGGATATCACGACTCAAATCGCTTGTAATGGTACTGATGCCTCCGTTCTTTGTCTTTTCTCAAATTTTAGTCTTCTAAATTCCTCAAGACCCTAATCATTTTTTAAATTCTTGGCAATGGGACGTAATTCTCGGATCATTTGTTCAATCTTTAACCTTTCCCATTATAGCTAATGCTGTTACATTCTCAATCACTACGGGATTTCGGCTGGCAATCGCAACTATTGGTTGTAATGTGGTATCGACCAAGTCCTACATTGTAGCTTACTGACTGACTAACTCGAAAACCCTGGACTTATTTTTCTATTCATCTGATGAATCCCGTTCTTGACTCTGGCTTGTCTACAAATTATGCATGTAGTTCAAATGGAAGTGGACGGAAGAGAATAAGATTTTACTTAGCGCGCTTCCGTATCTTGTGTCAGTGGATAACCGATGTCTTCAGGTAGGAATCTAAGTATATTCAACGTTCAAAAGAAAAATATTAGTAATTCATGATGAAATACTGTCCTGAGTCCCTAAAATGAGGTCAAATTTCTCCTGGAAGAAAAATATTCCGGACTCTCAGTTATTGTCCCCGCAGTCCATTCCCTGTGTTTGTCTTCTGGTTATTTTCCTTAAAGTTTTTGTTGGAAATGAGCCTAAGTAAGTATTTTAGGGAATGTCCAGTGGTGTTTAGTGTTCTGTAAGTCATCAGGTCACCTCTATGACTTCAATGGTTCAAGGTGCTCATCAAAACGCTTGGATACGAGTTTTTGTAAAGGACGCATGACTTACTGTTGAATGCGCTCTAATGTATCCTTATGAGGCGTAATAAAACGTTTTGCAATAAGGTTGAAGTCAAACGGGTCCTAAATGCACCTAATGTTACAAAGGTTCCAATATCCAATATTTTTATCATGAGCTAGAATGAGCCGATTGATTTCTTTGCGCTCGATTCCTATTTTTTTGATACGGTCCCAGGTATCTGGTGGTGGTATCTGTTTAATAACATAAAGAAATCTTATTAGGAATGATAATTAGTCCACTTTTAATGGTAATAGACTTTAACTCATATTCAGGTATTAATTTTGTCGATACATTGGTTCATCGTATGTTTGGGTCAAAGTTCAAAATTCGGAGTGCGTTAAAGGGGAAAGTCAGAATTTTGGCCTAAATCAAGGAAAGTAGTCGTACATTCAATGAAATTTGAAAATGCAAAGCGACAAAAAGGGTTATGGCACTACTTCCGTACAACGGGGGAAAATATGTGGCACGTGCTCCTATTTCTTTCCTCCTTGTATTACGAACTAAAGTCCTACTTATTTCCCCCTTTTAAGTTGCTTCAAAAGTATTAGGTCCACTTCTTTTTGTTAACTTGAATGACCTTTATCGTCTGATTTATTATTTTCCTCTGGGGATGTCAAACTTGGGAGAGAGGTTTCCAGCCAGGACGTTAAGCTGGTACTTCGCTAGGATCTCACTCTACTTTAAAGTCGAACAAACGACAGTGCAAAGCATTACACATAAGAAATGCTGTGGACTATGTATATAACTAAGGTAACTCTCTTCTAGATGTCTTAAGTTTAAAAATATCTAGGAGTCTTCGTACCCTATGTTCTGAAGTACTACTCTAACTTTAACGAAAATATCTTTTGTGCAGACCTTGCACTGGTGATGTTCAGGCTCACTTTTCACCATTTTGATATCAGAATGGTCCACCTCTTGAACAGCGTCATTCGGCCAATTATGGAGTATGGACATAAAGTGTTTCCTCCACTCCAGAAAGACAAGAGTACACGAATCTATCCAAAGGCGGTCTAAGAAATCAGTTCAAGTACTCAAGTTCAAATCTTATAAATATTGTTATAAGTCTCTATTTCTTCATTCGTTAGTATGGGCGTCTCAGATTTGACACATCCTAGAGTAAAGTGCGGTAGTTTCTAGTATATTGATAGATCACTAGTAGAATATCAAAGCAACGAAAATTACCCATAAAAGTTCAAAGTGTTGCACATGATATTGATTCTGCTATCGTTCATCATGACCTACCGATGTTTGGTCATAATGAAATCAGCTGTTTGCAGTGGACATACTGACCTCAAAACGCTTCGGTATAGTGCGGTTCTCCCTTTTCTTTAGTAGTAAAAATAACAGGTGCCTGTTATCGATTATTCAGTTACTTGAATTATGAATACTTTAGCCATAAACATATTACTGTGACTTATTTTATTGCATATAACCTATTATAATCATCATTGACCTCCATCTCGTAAATACTGAACAAAATGCGTACATTTTATGCATGTCATACAAGCATATAGAAGTCTGGTGGCACTATTAAAGTCTAGTAGACCATCAAAATGAACTAACTCGAAGTCCGCTGCAAATAAAAGTGATTGGTGTTCGTTCTCGTCTATGTAGTTCTCATGCCTAATCACTGCTGATGTGTAGTTATAGTCGGCTTGGAAGTACGTTCAAAGAAGGTTGTGGAGGATTAAATTAATCAGTGACATTAATCCATAAGGTCAGTCACTATCGTACTATTCCTTGTGGGCAGGTTCTGTTTCCGGCCAGTAAAACAGTTACTATCTACGTATAAGGACTACGGATGACGTCCATTTATTCTGTCTTCCTATAAATACTGGGTCTTAGTTTTGTTTTCTTCGATTTTATTTTCTTTTTTTCGGGTTGCATTCTTTACATTCAGTTTGTTATTTTTGTTTCTACCATCACTTAAGTGGTTCAGACGTATACGTCTTTCGTTCGCTCTGCGGATAACGGCTTAGTATTCATCGTGTTGCCTTTCAAATGGCAAACCACAGGTTCGAACTGTATTCTGCCTACTCTAATTTAAGCTTCGGGTAATATGCCTGTCACTGAAAGCCAAGTGTATATGTATTAGTATATTTAGACCACAGTTATTTTAAGCAAATAACACAAGGTATTTATAAAAATGTTTGGCTTGCCATCTTGCTGTATCGCTCCTGATTTGTAACAAGGAATTCGAAATCTAGTGGTAGTAGTATTAGTAGTAGGCATTTGACTCTGTTAACCGTGAGGTTCTATGGCAGTGTTTATCACTGGAAAGTGTACCAGAGAAGTAAATTGACCTTATACGAGCTCTCTACACTACTGGTCGAGTCACAACTTATGGCGAACTGTAATCGGAACTACTTCAACTTGTGTTTGTCAAGGCGGACCAATTTCTCCATTCTTAATCAATTTTGTCATAGACAAGCTTTTGGAAATAACTCTGTTATCATCTAAATTTTCAGGAGTTGAATCACTTAGAATATGCTGACGACATAGTCTACTTGGTGACCAACATAAGCATTAATGCGAAAGTTTTCGGGATGCCGTTTTCTCATTTGAAATGCAAAATGTTGCTTCAAATTGGGTTGCATCGGCACCTGAACTAGTGATAGGGAGTGAAGTAGTCGAGCGTGTAGACCGCTTCACTTATCTGGGGAGTCTCATCAGTGCTGCGAACTTGGCGACTAACTAAATGTCAGCACGGATACAGAAAGCTCGATTGACAATTATATCTCTGTGCTAATCTGATATGGCAACTTGGACTGATGTACTTACGTACGAAGTTCTACGTTGTAACTGACTGACTGACCGAGTAAGCAATGCTGGAGTTAGGAAGCGAGTACTAGATAAGGATGGCAAATCGATTGTTGAAGTAGTGAATGTTCATCAGTTGAGGTAGTTGGAACATGGTTAGAAAGCTAGAGGTTCCCAAACAAAACCTGTTACAAATCCATGAAGCTACTGAAAATTTAATTGAGGCATGTTATTATATGCGGATTACTTGATTTTGGTACTCGAGACAGTCGCAATCAGTGGTTAGAGACTTTAGATGTCATGACTCAAAGTCGCTTGTAGTGGCACAGATGCATCCGTTTTTTGTCTTCTCTCAAATTCTAATCTTCTGTATTCCCCGTGACCTTCATCTTTCTGTTTTGAAATTTATTTCACTGGATTATAGTCCTTGGACAATATCTTCGAACCCTAATCTTCCTGATTACTGCTTTTAATTTTACTATCTCTACGACTATGGGATTTGAATTGGCAATTGCATCTGTGTGCTAATGTGGTATAGCAACTCGAACTAATGTACGTACGTGCGAAGTCCTACATTGTAGCTGACTGATATCCTAGTGCATAAGTGATGTTCATTTAAATAGGTGGATACGTAGATGTTGGTGACTGACTAACTGACATGCGTTTAAAACTAGATTATTTGGAAAACTTAGTAAATTTTCGATGATGAAGAAGACTAATAGGGCATTGGGATTTCGTTATTCCATGCAAAATGTTCGGAGTAAATTAATGGTTTTTATAGGCTTCCTCCTGTTTTCTATTTTACATTTAGTTAACGTCTAATAAATTCGGAAGACTCCTTTACTGAAAACGGAGCAATTGAATAACTTCGTCTGCTCATATCGATCTGCTGCAGCTATGGAATCATGTGTAGCCGCGATAATTTACTCGGTTCATTCGAAAAATTCTGTGTTTCAGAAAATGCGGGTTAGATCCTTGAAAATGGATCGAGATAGAGTTGATGCTTTTGATAAGCTAACGTTATTCGTAAGTCCATGTTGATCATAATAAATTTAAGCAATTTTTATCGAACTAGTTCGAATCCTTGGTTTTGGTTGATTTTATACTGCTCTGGGTAATAAAAATGTAGGTTCATCGAATATTTTGTACGGTGAGTTCTCAAGTGGCTGTTCTATCTATCGGCTCTAACCGATTTATCAGTTTAGTTACAAAAATAACTTTGCTTTTCCGTCTGGATGAAATGCACAATTAGAAGCGTGTTCTTATAGCAAGTTCTAATCGCTGAACTTGATCGCTTCAGATATTAAAAAAATATCAGTCACTCAAGCAGAGATACAAGTAAACCTCCTAGATCTTAAAAGTGTTGGACGAAGTAAAACGCTATTTGTGCTCAAAGAATATAACTACAGTAACAGACTGAAAAGAAACTAAAATGACTTATGGTAATGGTTGGCTTTCAGATTATTAAATTTAGTTACTTGCGGTGTTGTATTTACACTATAATTAATTCTGCTATTATCCATTTCGGTGCTTTAGAGTTAAATGCTAGTTAATTTAACTAGCAATATTTATTAATGGGATGAAGGTTAATTTGTATCATATGTTTGTACGCTTTCTCATATTATTCACAATGTTTCTTTTAACTTTAGTCTTGTAATGAGGACCCGTCTCTGTCATGGTCTACTAAAGGCTCTTTTCATGCAGAAAGATGGATTCCTGTAACTCCACATGCAGCCAGTGGTTTTCTTATTTCTGACTGTAATTCATCAATGAATTCTACATTGGTAACACTCTGGATTCCAATAATTATCTTAGTCTGTTGATTTAGAATTAGAAACTGATTCTGTTTCCGAAACATGTTCCGTCTCATTTACTTTACATCCAGATTACCAAAATGACCAGGGTCTACTTTGCCTTCCAGTTTCTTCTGTTAGCGGTATTTTGGATGAAATTTACCGTGAGTAATTGCTACAATACTTTCATACAATTGAGGTGTAGAATATATCAGAAATAATAGATGGGTTCGCAATAAGGATCACTAAACCAAATTTTAAGTACTAAAGATTTGTTTGCAGTGGATTTATATTTAGTTGTATTCTAGCTCATACAAAACTACTTTTGATGTACATTGATTAAAAAAATACTATCAAAACAAAATACCTTGAATGGTTAGGCGATGTCGATATGTTCGGAATAGATGCAGTGCTCGAAACTTCAAGTTATCATGCAACAGCCATACGTTTCATTTGGCATTCATTTTGTAGCATCAAAATCTCATATTTTGTTGCATTGTATCAAACTTACATTTATGCGAAAATAAAAACACTGTCCTTTATGGTGGAGTTTTGTTATCTGGTCTGTTCACTAAATAACTGCTTTCGTGGAACATTCTCATCATGTGGTACATAAACATGGTTCCACGAACTCATGATGTAGTTGTTCTATTGTTATTTCTAAATATGTACTTTTTGTGTGCTACATCAGTCTTATCTTAGGTTTCCAGATATATCAGGTTTTGGGATATATCTAAATCAATTACTCACAAATTTTTTTGACATCCGGTTGGTGTATCCAGTGATTATCATAAATTTGTATTTGCTTAAATATATTTCCCAACTTTTCTCATATTCAGTGTACTATCTGTTTATATTTGGCTACACACCACTTCGTACGGATCACAGAACACCGCTGTATTTACATCTCAATTCAGTCAAATCGTCTGTAGATCAAAATCCAGCCTCCAAACCTATTATAGTTGGTCATGCTGGTGCCGGTGTAAAACGTGCGCACTATGGCAAAGGGCTTGAATGGCCTGAAAATACAATATGTGCCTTTAGACGTGCTGAGCAACTTGGAGTTACAATGGTAGAGTGTGATGCCGGCATTACAAAAGATTCCGAAATTGTTTTACACCATAACTTCACACTAGGAGTTTGTGAGCAACCGAGAAAATGTGAAAACGATCCACCAACCTTCATTTTAGAACATGAACGTGAGTTAGTTTATTTCTAATATATTGGTTAGACTGTAACTTCTTTTGAGAATTATTAGTGTTATTTTAGATGAGAAAGTCCTAACAGGAAGAAAACAAGTTGTGGTTGTGATAAGAACTTCTAAACTCAGAAACAAACTTAAGATTTTGTTATGTCTACCTTTCGAAATCGTTTCTACATTTGTTCTTGCAATTTTATCTGACTTGTTTTACTATTTCATACATTTAAAGCTGACGGCGCAGTAAATGAAAATAGCACAGATTTGATTGTGAACTATCGATTATCTGAAATTCGTAACCTTTTGAGAAAGGTTAATAAAACATTTGGTTATACAAACATTACCCGGAGCCAGTATCCTAGTCCTTTAACAATGGGTGATCCTATGCCAAATATTCATGGTAATGAGGCTGAACCAGTACCATTATTAAAAGATGTATTTTATCAAACTTCCACCAATCTCAGCTTCAACGTGGAGCTAAAGTATCCCGTAGAAACGCCATATAATCTAATCACTAAAGAATTGGTTAAACATAATTCTGTCGAATCTTCACTACCAACACCGTCCTCATATTTCTGCAAAATCAACAAATTCTGTGATACAATATTAGATGTAAGCAACTTAGTGTCTCTTGGATTTTTCTCTACAATAATATTTTTTCAGTATGTCAGCTCTGTTCAGCAGATTTAAAAGGACATTTAAACTCTAACCGAGCTTTTCATTACCTTCCGTATATTAAAACTTCTTTACTTGGTCAGAAGAGAGGTATTCAATGCGCTGTAGGATTACGTAAAAGATCTGAGGCTTAGTGGTACGAAAGTCGGGTTACATGTTCAGATCTTTTTGCAACTACCGTACTCAACACAGTCTTCGTGTGACTAGTATTTTAGTGCATGTTTGTGCTAATTTGGACTGGCTCGCTAGTTTCTACGTACGACCATACAATTGCGAATTTCTCATTAATCAGATGACCTTAATCAAAATATTCGAGTTCGTTTGTTCGTGAAAACAGTAGGAAACCGATCATTTATGGTCAGTCAGATTTCATAAAGCAACAAAATTCAAAGCGCATTATCGAAAAAAGATTCTTCAATTTGTCTGGATGGAATCGCTTTGTAGCTTCATTTATGATTGGAAACGCAATAATCGGCCTTTTTACTTCCGATTCCATAAGTGAAATGCAACCACTCGTAATAACACTATATAAACTGTTCTTAATCCCAGTAGAACTTGTTTAATAGAAATCACAATGCTTACAACTGGTTGGTAAATCACTCAAACTGATAGTTAAACTTTTAAATCATATCAAATGGCTTAATCGCTAGTTTATATGAACTCAATTCATCAAACTATTACAAGTACGAATGTATAGCTTAACTAAACGATTTCACCGAAAAGAAAGTTTTCTTTTCGAATACTCAAATTTCACTCAATACGCACTGTTGTAAACACGAAACTATCATTTCGTGGTTTACAGCTCTGCACAAAATTAATGACGGCCAATACTGATCCTTTTATGAAACAATAACAGCACTTTTTCCTCTAATAGGTTATATGGTCAAACGCCGGACCAAGATATGTTATCCTGTCTTCATTTAATCCTGACGTATGCTTGGCACTGCGATTAAAGCAATCTTTTTTACCAGTTCTGTTTATTTCCCGTGGTGGTTATCCAAGTGATAATGAACACAGATCAGATCCTCGACATCACAATATATTCTCTGCAGCAAGTTGGGCACATATAATGAATTTGCATGGAGTTGTTACAGTGGGTTATCATTTCGGTTCAACACACGATGTGGACGATGACCAGGTCAAATCTCTTGTAGCAGATTTGGAGAGTAAAAAATTATCCTGTTTTGTGTACGGTGATGGTGTATCCGAAATGAGTTTTTACAGAAAAGCATCTCAGCTTAATTTGACCGGAGTAATAGTTGATCGATTAGATGAATTTATGAACATTTTTTATGAACAGTACGGAACAAACATGCAGTCGAAATCTCCAAACCCTTAATTTCACAGTTTTCAAACTCATATATTAAACTAATAAACAGTAAATTTATCAAATCAACTATTTAGAAAAAATATCTACTGGTAAAAAAGACTGCAGTTAAAAATGTGTATTTGGTTTTATGTTGTTTTTTGTGTAATACATAAAAGTGTGGACATAAAAATCTCAAACAACCTCTAAGAAATATTTACATATAAAGTAGAAGTTAGTAAACGTAAATAATTGAAAGTTGAGATACTCTGGAAGACTGTTTTATCACGCAAAACAAATGTTAATTCTTCTGGGCATTCTTAATTCGATCTAGTCTGCGTTTCAAATCCATTAATTCGACGGCGGACATAGTAGGCTTTTGTTCTGTTTCAGGTTGAATATTTTCATCTGGAGAATCACCATTTGTTTTAACCATATTCTAAAGGGAAAAAAGTTTTTCTGTTATGCATGATTTGAATTTATACTTATAAGAGGAGTAAACACTCAAAATAAACCATCCCAACCAATAAATCTGTTACAGATAACTTCCATTTTAATTTAGAGCTATGGTAACAAAGAACAATTGGAGAATGTAGAAAGAACATATACACTATATATATACTCACAGAAAATAAATCTGAAATATGCTACAATAAATTATCACACACTCACAGAAAATCTGCAGTTCAATGTTATCCAGTGCACTACTTCATATTAGCAGTTGAATCCTAGTAAATATGACAATGAGTTTCGGAAATGATTGTAGCTGTCGGTTTGGCTTTACCCAACTCAGTTTTAGCAGTAAGTACTGACGTGACTGTTGTCATGATAAATGGAAGTCAGTACAAGTAATTATTTTGATCTCAACTTAATTTGTATGACTGTTAGTAAACAGTCTAATCGATACGTGCAAATGAAACAAACAAGGAATTAAATACAACTGAGGAATAACTGTTGTAACTAGGTGCGCCCAGTCACAGTTTAGTGCGCTGCGCAGTTTTACAATCCAATCAATGAGGTTACTCTTTGAACTATTTTCAACTCTCATCAAAAGCATCCAAGTACTCGGAGCCAAATTTGTCACTTGAAGTCTTAGTAGCTATTTGGTACACTTGAAGTTAGTGGCACTTCTGTTGAAATTTATCAGGAATGAACATCAATTGGAATTTGGACGACTGGGGTAAAAAAATCTCAAGAAATACCACTGAATACAGCATTTATTCATTGTCACAACTGTGTCAAATCCAAACATACCATTTCTGCTTGGTAAGTTTTTATTATTACTAGTTTGTGCTCAAGAAAGTATGCGTCATTAATCAGATCTTTAACAGCTACTTTAGAAATACTTACTCTGTGAGTCGTTTCAAAAACTGTATTTTGTATTCCAGCCCCATCAGATGCCTCAATATTGTCATCGATGTTCGTTGTGGATACACCACCAAGACCCAGTTCTCTACGTAGCACCGCCAATCGATTCATAAATACCCTGGGATCCGTTGGTTGCCCATTGCGAATATCTGAATCAAAATCTGGATTCCAATTAGGACGTTCTAAAATACCATTAGTCTGTCAAAAATAAGTAAAGTGTATTACTAAAAACGAAATTCAGAATGTACATATTGTTAACGGTACATACGTAACAAACATAATTATATGACTGATTTTCCAGTCGTATGTGAAAATAACACATATTAATTTTACATAGCATCAACAAGATAACTATAGGATAGGCGGTTTTGGGAATAGTACGTTATAGAGACAGTTATTTACAACTGTGGTATCATAGTTCAACGAGTGCAATCACATAATCAAACACATTCGTTTACATAACCACGAGAACTAGAGGTACCTCGCATTTGCTCAAATCGATATAGTTGAGGTAGGCTTCGAAAATGTAACTAAAAGGTTGACAGTTAAATGAATTTATCATCAGGCAGACATTCTTGTGAATCTTCCAGTTTTTTGAGCAAATAACGTAACAAAATAGCGGCTTAAGAACTTACTTGATGAGCTGCTAATGTATTTGGTTCTTTGTCATTTGCATTTAGTCTGGCTTGACGTGCGCGTTCGACAGCTATGTTTCGCAAAGCTTGTTTTATATACGCTTGGAAAAATTGGCTCGTATTTGTTAAATATGATGATAAATCTACATCTGGATAGAGCTGGGTAAAATCATATAGTTCATTTAAACCCTGGCAGAAAAATAGTGAAGATAACATGTGAATGAGTTAATTTTAACAGTAAAAGTACATTAGATTGAATATTGGTAATATATTGACCTATGTCGAGTGTAACTAATCATCTAAAACAGTAGTCCAGTTGAGCAGGGTTTTTTAATTCACAGCTAACGAGTGTAAATTATCTACTGAACACGATAAGTGTTCAAACAGTGTTTAAATGAAATTCCAGAGAATTAGTTTCTAAAACCCTTATAAAATGATCATAAATTGCCATATAGCTCAAGGCCAATATTAAGATATGGTTTCTTTAGCTGTCCTGCATTCTAATATTCCCACTTCAGAGGATTCGCGAGCTAGATTTGGTAGGTTCGATTATCCTAATTAATCTATAATCGTAATTAAATTCGGCAATAACTCGAAAAATAGCTTAGCTTACTAGGAACGATTCAAATATTTACATTACATAGTTACGTCAGATAAATAATAAATACTTACTTCATCAGGCTTCTTAGATCCTACCTTCTTGAATATTTCAGTTAACTTCTCACGAGTTGCAGTAGAAAGCACGTACCTCTATGAAAATATAAGAAAAGGTGTTTTCTTAATTATTTTAGGGATACAAGAGACTGACTGATAAGCCGAAAAGTCGCAATATGAACAGTGTGCATTTTAACAGTTAAATTTACTAGAAAGGGTTTCTTCAAAATTTCACGAAGATTTTCACCTACGACCATTAGTAAGAAGAAACACTTTAAGTTACAAAATTTGTTCCTCAGAAGTCTAAATACAAACAGTAAATACAAGGTGATACGAAGTAACGAACCCACCGAAAATGCGTTTACCAAACATGAGATCTACTGAAAATGTATGTGTTTATGTATTTTCTGACGGAGAGAATAACTAAAGTGTACTGAGGTTTATACATACTTCAAAGTGAAGATACTTCAGCAAGAACACAAAAACGCCTCTGTCATCTGATAACAGAATTTGAGAAGCAAAGCGGACTGAGAGTGAAGAGGTTGCTTTAACAACTGTTTGACTAAAAATTTTATGAAGAGATTATAAGTGTATTTATGCTACACTTCTTGTGCAGATAAATAATTAAATTGCAAACTTTCATATTTTCTGTTTAGACTAAATCAACACACGGCAAATAGTAAATTTACGTGGGTTTATGATTCATGATATTTTTCAATGACAATATTCAATTTATGTGTACATGAAAACAATAAAGTTTGCTTACTTTTGAATGACTTTCAGAGGTTGATGTGTTTTTAGAATCAGAGGTAGTTGTAACTCCTGAAGTAGTTTTTAGTGTGCGAATGAGGTAGGACTCCAGTTCTGAATCTTCCTATTAGTACGGAAAAGTTTGAGTACATTATAACGATAACTTAAAAACACAATAACAAGATTAAAACTATCTTTTGCCATTGACTAAGTCGTGTCTTCACTGCTTTTATAGCCTATGCTAGTCACAAACGATTTCTCATTGCACATTAAGTGACTTAAGTATATGGTATAACCTAATTATTTTGAAATACATTTCTTCACATAAAACTCAATTTATTCCATGTATGATCAATCAATTAATTTAATCCTCCCATTAAATCTCCAAATATCGTGATTAGATTGGCGCTCACAGGCATTTAGTTCAACAAGTCGATCAGTCCAGGAATTCCAAGGGTTATAATGAAAAGCCATCTGGATTTATGAGATAAAAATTAATTGGGATGTTTTGATTAGTGATCCATTTTAATCAATTCAAAGAGAAGCTTTGAAGTATATTAGGATCAGACTAATTTTGAACTCTCACAAAACATACGAATGTTCATAAATACTTACCCTATTAGGTATACTTTCTAGAAACTTTAAAATTGATGGACCTTGGAGGCCACATAATGTGTGTAACAATGTTTTGATTGTTCGTAGTGGGACGTCCGATTTACGCGCACTCCATGAGGAAGGTGGGAAGGCTTTCAAGAAGTGATGACAGTCCAAAAGTATGACATCCACAGAATAATTGCTAACTGATGCTGGCAGAAAAAAAAGTAAGTGGTTTAATTTCTTGATTTCGGAAATAAAGAAATACTGAAGTTGAAAATAACAGTTTGTGAATGTTAACTCATCTACATAACCATTTAAAACGAAACACAAAAGGAAGTTACGTAAAGTAAATAACAAACGAGAAACTTTACCATGGAAGTAAAATTTTTTTACTGGTACATGTCATCTAATAAAAATAGAGTACATAAATGGATGCAGCGTTGCTTAAAACTGAATTGAAGAGTAGAAACACTGAGTGCGTTAACCGTAACAGTAAAATGATATTCTGACAGATTTTTTAAAATTCATGATCACGTAATATATTTTAATTCCAAGTATAAATTGTATAGTACAGCAATGATGTAAACGCTCATATACTTAGTTGTGAATAAGACATGCCTAAACCGAAATAGTGGGAAGCTGATTCAGATGTTCAAATAGTACTGCAAGTAAAGATAATGGTTGTTTAATGTTAGATTTTACAAACTATACAAAAAAGTAAGAGGTCAGTACTACCAATGTTATGGATTATGGTTCTCAATTTCTGGTCGATACGGTCACAAACAGTGTTGATGATCGATATATGATCTATAATGATATAATGTGGTCAAACAACTGTCCGTAAAACCGAATTATTGACTGTGCTCCACTCCAAATTGAAACACAAGGAAACATAGGTGCTAGGCAACGAGTTCTCCGTCTAGAAAAATGACACTCAAAATATTCAACACAACAAATATCGCTAAAACTCAATCAAGTTATAAGTGGTTGTAATATTTGGGTTTTAGTTCAGTACATACACACACCCACGTAATGAAATAAGGATCTACTAACATAAGTTGATAACTGTCCTGTACATCGGTTAAACAATATTGTAATTTACCAAAACACGAAAACAAAGTTTGTCACAAATGCCATAAACTGTAACCCATGTTAAAAAGTAAGTTGGGGTGAGTTTTCGGTAATAAAACCTGTGATGACAGTTGTTCTTCATGAAAGCGATCGAGTACACTGCAATCTCAAAAAAGCATTCGATCCATCAATGAGGAGCAGGCAAGTTAGACTCAACAGGTCTTGTGTAATAAAGTAGTGGAAGTGTAAAACTTACACTCACCAAATTGATATGATTGAGAAAACAGGTGTGAAATTCAGTTACAAATTCTCGGTCAAATATTCTTTGTTTCTTAATCGAAACAAGCAACGAGACTTGAGAAATACTTCAATTAACCATATACATTGACATCCAGTAAACTTACATGCAGAATTCATCGCCTTGATAATACGCCATATACTTTTGAGGATAGCTTGCGTGAACCGATTTGTAAAATGCCCATTACTGATACATTCATGTAGCAACCGAATGAGAGCACTGCAGCATAAAAATGATGTTGTAATGCAATGCTTGTTAGTATAATTTAATAAATAATTGTACTATGAATAATAAAAGCCAAATAAATAATTACTAGGATATTGTAATCCTTCATTGACATATCTGTGTTTAGCAATAAAAGCTATCTTAAACATTCACCTCAAAAAACATCTCTTTCAATAAAATGTATATACGAGAGGATTTTACATGTAGACTGTATGCTTTATTAGTTTAGGTTCTCAACAAAATAGTGAATTAAATTTTTATAATGCATTAACAAAATTACGAATGACAGTACGCTTTCTGTTTTCATCAAATAAATACATCAATTAAACAGATACTGGAGAATGATAAAATCCGCTGGTTATTTAAACGATATCTAAAGAGCTGGAACTATGAAAGAACTACAAAAAATAGTGTTCCTTGCAAACGAATAACATACACAATAGAGATGAAAATCTAGCATTGAATAACATAAGCTGAATGCATTAATAATGGTCGGGAAAATCAGTTTGAAAATATTATGCTATAGAGAGTTTGAACAGGCAACTTTGATACAAAGACATTAAGGGACTGGTATTGGACTGAGAATTTTCAAGGTTAATTGATTGCATCTAAAACTGTTTAGAGTAAGGACTTCAATCCTACACAGTGCTAAAATATATGGGATTAGGAAAAGCGGATAAAAAGTAGCAAACAGTAGTGAATAAACATATAAGTTATCAAAGACTTAAAATAAACACCATACCTGAGTATACGCGTTCCACTGGAAGCCTCCAAAATAAGAACAAATAATGCATTGATGGATCTGATAACATTTTCCCCACTAGACATTTCAGCAGTCCTATCATCCAACATCATTTGGAGGAGAGACTGAGTTAATTCTCTTAAGGTTTCTCGTGAAGCTTCACGACCCAAAGTTGGGCGACTAAAAAGCTATAAAAAAAACATAAACTAAGTAAACCTCTTGAAATGATTTTAAAAACAAAACACTATTACAACGTAATGATTATCAAGCAAGGTCAGAAAACATCGCTTAAATCCATGTAGTCATGATGTTACTGAAATCCACCGTTTCTCTCTACCTTTCTAGCAGATACCAATGTTGTTTCCACAGCTTTTTGGATATCGATCCAAGCTGCATCGGGGTGGGAATCACTAACATGACTGTTTTTCAGTTGCTCCAGAAATATATTCTTAGCCTTGCTATTATTGATTAGAACCAATAGAGGTTTCCTTTCGATGCTTTTATTACGTCCAGTAAGCTGCAGACTAATACGTGCTCATTCTAGAGCATGATTTGAGTTTAAATATGAGCTCCAGAATGAACGATAGTCGTTTATCGAGCCGTTCCATCAGTGCATGATAGCGATGTGGTCCTGTTGGGTTCAGGGGTGAGTTGGTTTCGGGATCGCTACGTCACTCTATGTTTTTCTATACGTTTGAAGTTTGTATTTGCTAGAGAAATACGGGTAGCGGCTTTATCAATAAGTCTCAACTCCTAGATTAATGGTTTTGCTGGTCTTAAGAACAGTGAAGCCTCGTATTTAATTTGTAAGATGTCGTTAGAAAGGGAAGTAATGATTGCTAAACTTACAGATTCAATAGTGGCCAGATGAGACCTAATTAATGTATGCAACTGGTCTTCTGAAACTGAAGGATCTCCAAAATATCGCGAAGTAACTTGGCGTAACTGCATAGTAATAAGCATTAGGATTTGATTGACATGATTGAGCAAAAGGTACCACTTTTCATCTAGATTGATAAAAGTGGATGTATGTTAGTGAAATAAGAAAATAGATAATCATTCAGTATAGCTAGCATGTAAATTAACAGGGAACGCTTATGCGAGAACCTAAATATTATTAACTTTAGCAATAAGTTAAAGTTACTAAAATACTAAACAAATGATATGAAAGTCAAAACAATAGATGGAACTATAAAATAATTTCACATTGTTAATAAACAGCTTAGGGAAATATATACAAGTTGTTAAAACTGTACCTCTAAGAACGGTATCGATTTCGGCTAAGGCATGACAACTGATTAGTAAATCATTGGAAGATATAGCCGTTACGACCATGGTGATCGCTGAAGCAGTATCAGGACTTGTTCGCAACAGTGCATTGAGAACAGGCTGGCGAACGTGTGATCTAATAACGGGATACATATAAAAGTTTAGAATTAAGGTTGTGTAGTTTAATCAAATAAAAAAGTATTAATAAACATAGTTAAAACTTACTTCAATGCCGGCATTTCAACTGGCTGGAAGAGATCATTTATATCGGCATCTAATTGAATAAGTGGAGGCATACACGGAGCTTTTGCAGGTGATAAATCGCCTAGTTCGTTTAACATTGCACGCGCTCTAGCATGAGCTGCAGAAACAGGTTGCTGACGGCGAAGTTCACTGGGAACAGGCTCTAAGGGATTACGTGAATCTGACGGAATACTAATGTGAAAATAAGCAAACAAATAATAATGTGAGTAATCATAGAATCGAGAACAAAAACAAGTCCAAATTAGTACGTATAATATTTTCTCAAATAAATCAATTTATAGGATTTAAAGATGGGACTAAGCAAGAAAACGGATAATCTTCTAGAAATAATAGGACACTATAATACCAAGCTGACACAGAAAATTTGTATCCCATATTCAAGAAGATCCCAAGAATCACGCTAATTCTTTAGTGAAACCAATGATAAATAGAAGTGACACTAAAATACTAGATAGTTGACTTCAAAACACATACCTTCTCGCAGTGCTCGGTCTTACAACAGGTGTCTTTGGTTCAAAATTTTCACTAGTATTGATCGGCACTTGCCCAGATCGTTTAATACGTTCCTCCAGCATTGAACGTTCTTTTTCAGGTATCTGCGACAAACACAGAACACGATAGTATATAACTATTAAGGTACGTTAACATTTTAAAAATAAATGTAAAAACTTCATTATTCGACCATAATGGTAGAGAGCTAATGCCATTTGAAATGTGACTGAAAAAGGTCTGAACAAGATGAAACGAGACAGACTTGTACAGATTTACGGGTTAACTTTCGATGTCTTTCGAAATAATGGTTCAGAATTATCAGTCGGTTAAGTGAGATGAAATATAGGATTTGGGGATCAGATATAATCTTATCTGACAGTTTATTTCTGAAAGTACCAATTTATGAAAAACCGTTCTACCGCAACTGGAAAGGAATAAAAGTATCGAAGATGCCGAATTCCATTCTCACTTGCTTAACCAGATAAGATCACCAAGCTTTTCGACTAAGTTGTGGAGGTATTGATCAAATACTTAGGTTGTGAAACATAACCATTTCTGCTGAACTTCAACCAAAAGTAATTCATGACTTGAAATCAGAATTTGATTGCGTCAATTAAAAAATCTTGTCACAATGTGTGTCAATGGAATATATTGTATTCAAACAGTGAAAAAAAGCCTGTCAATCAAAACTTTCAACTTTCCTAATTTCCAGAAAATTTCTTCATAGAGATACTGTGAATTATAGATAAAAACGAAACTTAACTGTTGAAATGATATGATAGAATTGGGGATTAAATACCTAATTTATAAACATAATATACACTGATATAAGGAATAAGGTAAGATTTTGTACTTCAATAATTAGTTCCATGGTGTTTTTGATCGACACTCCTATTATTAAAAAAATTATATGACAAGATTAATCGTGATGGAAGGTAAGTTTGCTAATTTGTAAAATCACCAAGTCTCATGAAGATCAATTTAACAAAGTAAACTGAAACAACACTGAAGTATTCTTACGTCGCCGATAACTTTCCATATCTGTTCACCCATAACAGCATAAGCAGAAAGTAAAGCATTTAAAGCAGCTGATCGGACTCCACTGTCGCGATCACCGATTTGTTGAGCGATTGATTTGATTGCGATAGGAATAGAAGGTTGGCAAACATTTAATCCAAAACGATCAATCAATGAACCCATTTCATCCAAGCACTCTAAAACCAAAAAGAACCAACAAGACAGTAAAACAACAGTGAGAAATGATTATAATGCATGGTGTTTGTTTAAGTATGTGGCGAAAATAAACAATAAGGCTTACCTTGTCTTGTTTTACTTGTCTTGGCTTTAATCCCGTTAGTGAGAAATGTGAATAGACGACTAGGTGGATATATATTAACCACAAGTTTCATAATTCCTCGAATGTTCTGTCGAATTATATCTTTTGGTTCACCTGCTTTCATTACCAAATACGGAAGAAATGAACCACCTTCGTGTTCTGAAAGATTTGCTCCAGACTCTGACATATATACAAATAGTTTTGTTACGTAATCCATACCTGTATTGTCCAAAGGAGGAAATGAGAATGAAACATAATTTAGCCCAAACAGCTGTCACTAAGTCTTTGTAATTATACAAAAGTCTCAGTGATACATATTACGATGAAAATATTTACGATCCGATTAAAATTTTATTTAATGCCATTATTTAACACCTATCTTTAAAAAAATACAAACACGGATATGACTGGCAATCGGACAGAACAGATGACTGACAAAATTGAATACTGAAATAAAACGAATCGCTTGCTTTCGCCAGTACCGTCAGACAACTCATTTTGGCCGACACATATTTCATTATTGAAAAGACTCTCCTTAAAAGATTATCTAAACTGATAAATATGCTTTCACTTTCGGAAATGAAAGTGAAAGTAGTGAACTACCTTTCTAAGACTGTCTAGTTAGAAAGAATTCTAATGGAAATTTAAATCTAACCATATACCAAAAAACCAACACCTTCAGATCGGTACATCGACATCAACTCTGCACATCCATTCACTGCGAGGATTTCCCTAGCTGTGAATTCTTTCAGAAGGGCTACCAAAATCATTAATTCAGAAAAAGAGAATATAATAAACATCGCACCTCTTACTAATTTTTCTACGAGCGTTTAACTCAATTCACTATCTACATAATTCTACGCACATACACACTAATAATAATAATTATTATTTTAACTCAACTACTTCATGTCACAAATTACATATTCTTTCTTACTTTCCATCATACACACAAATAACACTTTAAGGTTTCACATAAAATCACCTTGACCAAAAATAACATGACACTGACATGTTCTGACTTATCATGATTTTGACTGTACTAAATTTATTCTTCCTTGTTTTATTTTTACTAGTTAAACTTGTGTTAATTTATTTCGACAATTTATTTATTTTTACTCTGAAGAAGCAACTTGCGCCAAGTCACGGAGCATCAGAAATACAAATTTCTACTCATTTGTATGTCACTAAAAAATTATAATTATTTTATTATTAACAACAATACTAACTTAATGCTCTAACTATTATTGGAAAAGCTGAGCACGATCAAATATTTAGCAAATAAAATGAGCGATAAATTCTAAGATCAAGTCATGAACAGGAGAACACGACCGTGAGTAGTACCTCTGTCGTTCTACAAAGCCATAGAGCTTTATGGTACAATACTAAGACGCATGTATATTCAAAGCTTGAATGCTAGCCAACAGTTGATGGAAAGATTAAACAACTGTTCGTTTACATATTCAATTTGAGGGGAAATTTATTAGCTATACGAAAAAAATTAACTTGAAATATGAAATCAACTTTAAATGGATATGATTTTAAAAATTTGTTTTGTAATTTCAGAACTTGTAAAGGTTATTTCAAATTAACTTACATCTGCCTAAAACGACTGGGTTAGTTTCAAAGAATCGAAGAACAATCCATCTCAAGATAATGTCTACATTTATTATAGTAGCTTCACCGCCTTCAGTTGTATCCAATAATTGAGAAAGCTGCTCGATTGCCTTAATATGTTGTTTAAAGTCGGAATGAAATAAAAGTGCATGAAACTCAGTAGCAGTTCCAGCTGCAAGGAATAATGTATTTAACTGTTGGATGTGGTCTTTTGTTGGAGCATCGAAATCCCATTTCAGGAGCTGTAAATTTGAAATATTAAGTTTCAGATAAACAAAACGGAAATGAAAAACTTACAAATAGTAGTCTAAATAGATCAAAGGCAACCAAAGTCATCTAATTTCCTTGAATCTTTAATAAAGTCGGATGCTTATATACTTCCCGATTTCCAGTTGTTTAAATTACAAAGGTACTCATATTATTCACATTTTGAACACCGCTTCATTTACTTTGGGAGTCTCATCAGTGCTGATGATCCACTGTCTGATGAAATCTTAGCACGGATACAGAAGGCTCCACTGGCTTTTGCCAGCTTGCGTCACTAACTGACTTCAATGAGCACGTATAGAACTCAAATAAAATCCAAAATTAAAAATTTTAGTCAGTGTAAATTTTAAAATAGACACAATAAATAACACGAAAACTGACTATATAAAAAAGAAGGCGGAATAATTACCTTGCGTTTTTTCTCATCATTTAACCTAGAACTCTTAGCTGACTTATTTGGTGGTAGAATTATAGATGTAGTTGGCAGTTCCACACCTGTCTTCTTAGCTGTGTTGACAGACTTCTTACTATCAGTCTTTTTCTTCGTCTCAGGAGCAGACTTTGAAGTAGTGGCTTGAGATTGTGTAGCATTTTCAGACTCCTCAGCATTTTCTAAAACTTAAGAATCAAAACGAAAAAACGAGGTAATGTTTTTCGTGAAGCACATAATGTAGCAAAGAACGAGCGTTTCATTTACTTTTCTGTGCAATAAAAATGCATGAAAGAAATACCTGGAGTAGTAGCTTGGGGGTTTGAGGAAGATTGTAGACGTGCTCCACTTCCTCCACGTACTGCCTTAGGTGGAGAAACAGGCTTTTTCTCCGCTAACGCGGGATGTGAATTAGCTACAATTTCACGAGCTTTCTCCAAATGAGGCATAACTGAATCCTTTGAGGTAGGCTTCAAACGATTGGCACATTTTAAAATAGGTTCCCAGCCAAAAACTTGTATTAATGGAGGAAGAGCTAGTTGCGCTTGCTTGCGAGCCTCAACATTACGGTCTTCAAGAGAAGCAAACACCTGCGGTATTAGATTCTCTGTTATTTCTGAAGAATTTTTCCGCAGGGCGTTTAATGGCATAGGCGCGAGAACACTTTGCAGCCAGCGCAGTAATTCAGCTCGTAAAAAAGGATTCTCCATCTGCACAGTAAACAAAGAGGAAGATGAATGAGAAGTTTAAGATAACATAAACCAGTCTTACATCCCACAAAAAGTTATGAACACGAAGATAAAGTTAACTTTAAAAGCATGTCCACGACAAAGTCAAACAGGAATTGAGAGAGAGGACAGCCCTGACGGACACCACTTGAAGTAAAGAATGCCGATGACAGTTCGCCAAAAGCTCTCACTCGACCAGTGGTGTTCGAGTAGAGAGCTTGTATAAGGTTAATGTACTTCTTTGGTACACCTTTTAATGATAGACACTGACAGAGTCGAATGCCGCTTTAAGGTCGAGAAATACTACTATTGTGGGGCGTCTGAACGTGTCTTTGTTCTAGGACCTGACGTAGTGTGAATAGCTGGTCTATATATACACGTCCGTTAAGCGTCGGAGTATTATTGAGGCGTATATTTTTCGATAATATATTAGCCGGGCTGATTCCTCTGTGATTGCCACAAAAGGATTTTTGTCCTTTCTCGTAAATTGGGACAACCAGCGATTGAGACCAGTCAGATGGGATTACGCCTAGTTCCCAGATTCTACCTAAGATGTTGGTCAATCTAACTATTAAAACTGGACCACCATCCTTACAAATCTCAGGGGAAAGCCTATAAGTAGTAGTATATGTTTCGATAAGCAGTTGTAAAGGACGATATTACAAATAAGGTACGTGAGAAAATACTTACCTTTAAGGCATCAGCTAACATGTCATTTTCAAATATTGATAAAATGGGAACTCGAGTTTGCCAAGAGCTAAGTGCAGTTATAGCTGCCTCACGTATTTGAACCTTTGAATCACCAAGACAGAGTAGTATAGGAGGTTCAATATACCTAGGAAACAAATCGATTGAGTAATAATTTATAAAATAACGGGGAAGACAGATGCGCCTGAGACCATAAATGAAGATTCGCATGATTAATACATACGATTATGTCATAAAGGACGAATTTCTGTGGCATGCTAAGCTAATACAGTAATGAAATTGGAGCTCATAACCGGGTTAATAATACCTCTAGATTGGATACCAGAACGATCTGTCATACACCGACTAGATCACGTTATATCAGATCCCTGATTCATAACCAAAATCGACAACAAGAGCAACACTAGACAATATTTTATTGCACACAATTCCAAACAGCAGCTTCCAATAGTTCCGGAGTAGAAGTCAATAAAATTCATGGAAATCATATTTTTATTAGTCAGTAAGCTGCTCGCCTGTTTAACCAAAACCCAGTGAATGACCATATTAACTTTCACTACTATATATCAGATTGCTATTCAGATTCGATAGGGTTAGGTATCATTTTGTACTCATCAATGTTAACACAGTATCGGACTACTAGCTACACGATTTTCTAAGTTATCAAATTGTGCTTCTGCTTTAACAAAATCAGATTGAGATAGATATATCAACAGATTTCTTATTTACTATTTTTGGGACAAGTTGAACTATATTATTTTATTGATCTTAGATAACCTAATGAGATTTGTGATTTGCCTTCAGTTTAAAAAAAACACTCGAAAATCTTCGTACAGTACACATTAAGATAGTTCACAATAACGATTTGTGTGAAAATTTGTCAACTTCACCACCTCAAATAACCTTATTTCGTGATTATTAATTATTATCCATGTATAAAAATCTTAATGATCACATTATTTTATTTATTTTAACAAGAACAATTTTTTTGTCATTTTGTTACCATGCTCAATAAATTATTGTTTTTTTTTTAACACACATATTACTGATTATCATTGCACAGAAATTATGTACAGTTTCAAGGATTATTAATTCATTGTAAAGAGAACTCCTCTACTGAACAGATTTTTGCCGTTGTTATATCTTAATGTGTATTTCATTTAATTCAAGATTTGTTAATAGTAAATAGGATTCGAAAAGACAAAAGTTATGTTATTTTTGAATACTTGGAATGGGAGGTTAAGTGGTTTTATACAATTGTACAGATGCATAAATTTTTTAATTACCGTAGAATTTATCAAAATACTACACATGTTTTTTTTAAAAAAGTAAACTCAGTATAGAACAACAAGATGTCAATTAAAAACTGCACATATAAAACAATAAACAGATCAATATAATTCTTATTTATAATAAATATTACACAAAATAAAGTGTTGCCTTAAATCATCTGGTTCTTTCAATACAACTATAATGAACATAGAAAGTATTAAAATTAATTGAATTACTGAATTATCAGACTAATTATAAATAGAACAAAAAATTGAACTATGATTTGTATCCTTGTGTACCATACTCTCTGCTTAACAAAAAGTTCACTGTTATGACAGAACGATATCAAAGTGATTAGCAAGTTACTGTTCAAGTGACTGAATAGTTTGGAGAATCAAAATTATTATTTATATGCAAAATATTCAACTAAGATAATGCAATTTATCGGATAACAGTGAGATTAATCAAAGATGGAAATAAAGATTATAAATCAACTAATTACCAATTATTTAGAATTATCATATGAAATATAAATGACATAAAGATGATTAAGAAAATAAATGAAACTTTAAACGATAGATAACTTTGAATAAACAATACTATGAACTGTTTGTTCGGTTAACAGTATGTCGATTGGATCTGACCAGTTGACAGTAGCAGTTAAATTCCTGTAATCAAATAAGATTGAGTGTCATTAGTACAAGACACTACGAATCTAACATGACGGTACGAATAGTGTGAAAATTAGTAAAGATTATAACAGATATCTAATATCTTTTTTATGAAAGTCCTACACAATTACACCGCACACACAAAACGAAGGAAAAACTACATAAAGTAGCCTGGCAACTTATCAATATGGATGTCAGTGGACAACATCACTCAGATTAAGGCAGTAAAACGTATCGTGCATCCTTGGGATTCATTTCTTATTTAGCTGGTCGGTCTAGTGTAGAGAGCATATGGCTGAATCGAGTCGTAGAACGCGCTATTTATACACTTAAAAACCTTACACCTGACCAGTAATTTATTACTAATGATTAAGGCTTGAGTCACAGTTAGTTGTAATAACACGCAACTTAAAATCAAAAAATATATACTTACTTTATATAATTTACAGCGTCCGACTTCGGCATCGATGAAGCAACGGAAGACAGGATCACCAAGGCTTGTTTAGCCAAATTTTTATTGACATCATTGGCTGCCTTAGCTATCATAGTTAAAGGTTCTTGAAGCTTTCCATTTGAAGCGTCAATCAAATTGGCAGGTGATATAAATTTTTCAATAGTCGTCAGTGCTTCTAAACGTTCTTTCCAGACCTTGCTTTTCAAAAGTCCCAGGAGTTCAGGTGTAAATCGGTCACTGGAAAAAAAACAAACTAGAATATAAGTAGCGGGACATTCAACAACAAACATGAAATTTAAAATTGCGTTATGATAGAATAGCATCTCACCATTAATTCACCATACTAATTTTAACGATTGCCCGTTTAAATTATTCGACAACAGTACCGATTATTTTTTATATTTGTAATAATAATAATAACAGTATCGTCTATTGTATATTTAGTTATGTGTGTGCATGCTTACTCGCTTATTACATGTCTAGCCTATTATTGACTGATTATAAATACTTAGTCATGCTTCAGCGTATGACAATTAGCTCGCTCGCCTTCTCCAGTTTGCTTCGCTTTGTTTGTACGCTCATCATTCTTATGTCAGCTTGCTTGAATGAACGCATGAAATAAATTAGTTCGCGAAACTGTATTTGGCTTATTATTACCACCGTCGCACAAACGGGGTTCGCCTAAGTTATTCTATACGGAAATGGAAAATTAGATTTATTTCATCGCATTTCCAGCAACTGGAGTTAAGTCTCGGGCCACTAAATTTGTGAGCCCGACGTCGAACACTATGCAAAATGCAGAACTAATTCGACAAAGAAGCTATCGAACTCAATGCATTGGACGAGTGAAACAATGTATCAGACTAGAAGAACAACGCAGATAACACAATCCCGTATCCAACGTACGCAACGAAGCCAGTTCCGTGAGTATACGCACATACAAAGATTACATGTATTGCATGTATTAACTCGTCACATCAATATCCTTGCTTAAAGTGAGTTCGTTTTTTTGTCGTATCTCATTATTATATTCTGAATCATTCATCACGTCGGGCTCACTGGAACTGGAATGGGATTAGTCGTTTAAATTATTCGATAATAGTATCGACCATTGTATATTTAGTTGTGTGTGCTTAAATGAACGCAATTTGGTTTGGCGATATCAGTTCCAGTCGGAGTTATTATCAGTCATATCTATTTCATAGTGAAGCTGATATGATTTTCAGTGATGTTCGGTGATGTAGGATTTTCGACGTAAGTGTAACCTCAGAGATTATGAGAATGTATTTCTGCCGTTTCATAATACACGACAACCATGGAAATCCGAAATGAAGGGTCACTCTCAGTGACTAACAACTTCTCAGGTAACAGAAAGGTTTGCTTCACATATGACTCATCATCCATTTGTGTATAGTGTTAGTAGGGGGTTATGGATGGTACATATTTGTTCGGCAGGCAGAAGCTTTTCATGCAGTAACTTTAAGGTCAATGACCCATAGTCAAGAGTTGTTGTGTAAAATTTATGAGAAAGACCCTCTCTTTAGTCATACGACAGTCGATCAGAAGAGTAGGATCCGACCCTTATTGATGCCTGGAGCGGCAATTTTTGTCATCGATTCTGTGTATGGAACTCACGGAAAGAAAACAATCGCCTAAGATGTTTGTAATCAGTGACATTTATTTGAACAGTCGAAACTCCCAGGTCGATCTGACGTGAATTATTTCTATTCAAGTGATTTTGATACGTTAGCTGCACATATCATTGGTTTTGGAAATGCAGCTGACCAGCATTGTGAAGTAAACAGCTGTTTAGAATACTACTTTTTTCAACAGTAGACCGAAAGAATAGTGCTCGTCCAGAGTACGATATAGTGATATTGGATTCCTCCATGAAAGCAACGTCAGTAGTATCCGGATTTCTGGCTGAAGAAAAGCCCGAGACGATTGGCACATTCTTATTTCGAGATAGTGTTTTCGAAGAGATACCTGTGGAATCTCTTGTCAAACAATCAGTTATCTACGAAATTCTACGAAGCATATCACATAATATGTGGAATACATATAATGTGCAGTGTTCTTTGGCGGGAACGTTTATTGCGCTAAACCTATAATATTTCATCTGGAACTTTTCAACTTTTTGTTTGTGTGATGTATATAAAAAAAAACTATGGAAATTGCGTGTAAAATTACTCCGATACATAAATTTTTGTATATTCAACTCTCACTTGAATGTTATTCAAGAAGAGTTTGATATTTTTAAACTACTTACAAAATAACCCTAACAATGCACAGGATTATGAAGATATACAATCTCAACGATAATGTGTTGCGCTATGCGTTCCACCTATTTTTAAGTAGTGGTTGCTGGCTGCGTGTTAGATTGCATGAAATAAGAAAGGATGTGTCTAGAAAAGTCATGTTCCCCAGCAGCCTCCAATCACGGGATATAAGAAGCCGTATCAGTCCGAAAGCATGAGAACGGAAGTGTACACGAAAATTCGTCAAATGATCAGATTATGAGAGAATACCTTCACAGTCATAGGTCATACATGGAAGTACACAGTAAGTACGGATGTTATGGAATGCAACTACTGTTTCAGAGGTGAAATGCAGTTATCATATCAGCATCTAATTTAACATTATTACACAATATTTCACTATTCACTGTCGCTGCGTTGGTCTATATGACTAATTTCGTTATACGTACTTTGACTTTGATAGTGGGCTAAATTATTATTAGGCCGGAATTCACTCTGTTTGCTAAATTCTTAATTCTATTAATGTGCTGGTATACACAATTTATAAGTCGATTTTTTGGGGGAATTCCACATCAGAGGATTTGAACATGTTTGGACAAGCATTCAACATTGACTTCTTTTAAACCTTATACATAGTTTATAAATAATATTTTCATCATTGAACAGTCAGTTCACTAACATAGAAATTAAATATCATCGCTCGCTAGTGTGCTTGCCCTGCTCTGTATGTTTGTGGTCTGCTGGTCTATTTTGTGGTGTGTCGAAATAAACGTATTCAACACTTTGTATTCACCTTCTGATTTATAACCGTCAGGCGCTATTCGGTGACGATTGCCTAAACGAGCAAATTACGAAGACTAAGAACACGTTGAATATCGACCGTCAAAATACTAGTGATACATTGGCCACCACATAGGAATCGATCGTCTTCATATAAAAATAGCTGTATCCATTAGTTAAACTAAAGAAACGATACAAGACATTTGAATGCATACCTGATATCTATTTTCGGAAGTAACGCATCGGAGTCCATTTCCTCTTCTTGACTAGTAACTTCTACATTTTCCGAAACTGCTTCTGTTCCATTAGGTTCAGTAGACACCGAATCTTTGAGAAGGGTTTGGGCAGCAGAAAAACGAGTTGGAGCAGGAGCTGTTTTGTCATTGTTTTTTGCAAACTCTGCATTTAGTAAGGTAATCACAGCTGGTTTTTCATCTGCCAATAAAGTTACTAAACGATCACCGAGATATAAATGAATAGTTCCAGCAAAAGTTAGTGAATTTTGTCGAACAGAGGGGTTAGTTGCATTTAAGCCTGTTTTTAAAAGTGGTCCAACCTCTTGCGGCGGAATACTAAACAAATTAAACAACAAAATCATCAAGCATCTTAACAACTGGATAAAAATATTTAGCAATTTTAACTATGAACTTTAAAGAATACAGAGATTGACACATAACATAGAAGAGTATTTATACATTAAATTAGTGTAAATAAAATAACAGCACTATAAATTAGTTGGCATGTTAAACGACAATATGGGTAGAAAGAACAGTATTAGCTGGAAAAATTGAGAAGCCAAAGTAAGATATGATCAACTACAAATGAAATCCAATTCAACAGACAATGCACAAATTCAAGCATTATCTACTACATGATTACAATAATGAATGGGAAACGATCCCTTACATCAGTTCATTGTTGTCATGAAACGCCACTGGAATTAAATTTATAGACCAGTCATGAATTATTTTTCTACTACCCACAAAGAACAATCTACTATACGTACTTAACCAGAGAATGCTATGTATTACGACATTAGTAGAAATAGCACTTTGGTATTGTTTGACTTTAAGGTATGTATATTACTATTTCCCTTACATCTTTTAAACCGTTTTATTTTCTCCTTTTATTGACGAATGAAATGTGATATGGTGGCATTGTGAGTCAAAACTTAGGATCCAAAGCAACAAATAAATAAACTGAAACATTCGTACTTACATTCCACACGAAAATTCGAAGAAGAGCTACCATACTTTCTAATAATTCTAACGGAACAATTTAAAACATCATCGTACACTGAATTTCTAAATAAATATCATATTCATATACCAGAGAACGGCGTCACGAGCGCTACGCTAATGAGACCCGGTGGTTAACAGGGTCAAACAGTAGGAAAGAGGTGAGTGCAATGCAAGTGAACCTCAGTACCAATTGATTCAGTTTGGGTCATAGATATCAGCTCCTGTTCTCGATATATGTAGGACAATCCTACCACGCAAAGATAGTAAGACTTTCCCCATAGATTTTTCAATGAATAGTTTCAAGAAATAAAAAGCAAACTCCATTCACAGACCATCTTATGAGATTTAGAGATCAAAAGCAACTTAGTGAACATCTACAGATTAATGTACTAAACCTTGAACCATTCTTATACGAGAGAGGTATATAGTCTCCAGTCACCTAGACAGAAAGAGGTGAAACAAGGTTTTGGAACTTCAACTCAATGGTCGAAAGTCAATTGATTTGAAAAGTTATATTGGAGTTTTAATGAGCGTTGTTATGCCCTACATAACCTGAAATATCTGGATCTTGAGACTGGAAAACATCCGACATCTCTCAGTGATAGGATGAATTCACTCACATAACACCTGTGAAACATAACAAACTCAGAAAATTTAACTAAGATGTCGGAGGCTTTAGTCTTAATTGTTTATTATGACATTTATAACACACTACAACGGTAACAAGGCAAAAAAATTTGATATTTAGCTTGTGAAAGTAAGAAATTGTTGGTCGCTAAGGAAAGATAGACAAGCGACCAACATAAAGGCGATTGTTACACGTAAAAGACTGATATGTAATCAGAGTTTCGCTTTATATTGACTGCTTATGTGTGTTAATAAAACCATTGTTTGACTTGTGATCTGGTCCACAATCGTTAGTCGTGAATCATGTAAACAGCGATCTAGTCTATGTCTAATGATCTCACACCGTATGTTTCGATCAAGTAATTAATTTAATCGATTGCCCAGTCTAATGTAACGCACGGAAGATACATTTTTAAGCACTTCGTTACATTAAGAACAAGTTCATTTGGTGAAAACAATTTAAGTAGATTGAAAAAAGGGACAGCTGTTATTCGGTTTATAACTGAATAATTTTCAAGTTGTAAAGAAAATTTTGATTAGTAGATCATTTATACACAAATACATACCAAAATCCAAATTCCTGAACACTCTGATTTAACCAAATCAAACCTTCAGTCTGACTGCGAGGATTTTTGATCTGAAACAACATGCGCATTACGCAACCACCAACTAATTGAAGACTTGTTTTCTCAGCCAATGTTGTCATCGAGGTTTTAATAACGTCACCAACTTTGATATCACCAATCTTATCAAGTAAATCTGGTACAAGTAATTCAGTCAAATTTGAACTGACAGACATGCTTAAAGCTAAAACCGCATTGATGTATTCAATTCGAGCGCGCAGCACCTTGATTGGTACGAAAAAATCAGATTAAAGTATTTATCAGTACACCAATACTCACATCACATATATAAACCATATCATGTATAATTGAAGAATTTTGTCAAATGTAAATAAAACACTAAGTGTCAATTTGTGAGTCCATACTTACACTATAACACACTACTATTCGTGATTTTACTGCTTTTATGAGCATATGATGGTTGCTGAAGTTCAAGTTTGGTAACAATTCAGATTCGTTAGAGAAAACAGTAAACTACGCAACACAGAATCGTCATGGTAGTCAGTATACCGACACTATTTAAGATACCTTATCACTTCAACGTTGAAAAAAGTCATTTCACTGAAAAAAACAACTGAGTACCTGAAAATTAGTATCCTTGATTCCAGGCTTCAGTAGAACAGCGCGACACAAAATTTGAGTAGGTACGTCAGAACTGGTGAAGGATTGTATATTAGATTTAATCTGTTCAACTGCTTGCAAGCGTTCTTTCCAATTTGTATCGGACATCTGTTTGATGAGTGCTTCACCAAGAAGCCTAAAACGAATTAAATCGGAAAATACGGTCAAACAATCATCTAAACAGTCAAAATTATCGCATATAGTTTGACCAAATAAATCTAGTTAATAACGAATGACCTAATGCACTAAAATAATTAAATAGCCTTTCCCATTTTAATAGAAAATAAAGGTTTAATAAAAAGCTATGATCAACACAATAGTTATGGTGTTTTCCGTAAGGATTACCTATTGATGGGTATGAAATTTCAAGTAAAATTCATCAAAATCTGAGGTGCACATTCAAATAAACAAGGTATGATGTTGTACCATGTATGGAGGTAAACTGAGTACAGAAACTTTTGGTACATTTACTGGTAACGTTAGAGTACGTATACTTTTTTCTGTTAATCGGTGCTTATAAGGCATTCAAATTCAGTTAACGATGTCAGTTGGAACGTATTTTATGGAACTTCGATAAGGGAGAGAAGCAAGTAGTACAGTCTAAAGATTTTCGTTTCAGTAAATCATCAACAGCTAGGGAGTATATCTTTATTATATTATCAACCACTAAACATTCCGGTTCATTGTTTACCACATAATTTTCACTTACATCACCCGAAATTCTCGACTCCACAGCTGCAAGTTTTGATTACAGCAGGAGTGTCAGGGTTTAATGGTTAGACATTCGATTTCCAGTCAATCAGTCCGAATTCGGAAACTCGCTCCGTCTACCTTGATTTGGTCAAACAAGCAGTAGTATCATCAGCCCTCAAAAGTAAAGTATTGCTCTTATTCAAGTACTTAGTGAATGAGTTTGTCATTATTATTAATGTTAAATATCCAATCAACAAAAATCAGGTTAGTGAATATATAAGCAAAACTCCGATCTTCTATAATAGTCTAATTACTCGCTTTTCTATAATACCGATTTTTCATCCAACTTTTAGTGAGGCTTTGTAATAAAAAGCTATAACAGAATATGAAAATGGATATCTGTTTGCAATCATCGAGATATATAGATCATGAAAACAATTTGATATGGTATATCACAGGAGACAAGGTGACTAGGGAAAGTATAATATACTGACAACCCTGAGCGACCTACAAGCCCATCAGAAAACACTACCTAGTTATAGAATAATTAATAGCTAAATGCAACGAAGTATTACTGGAATAATAACTTCTCTCTGAATAATCAACCCTCACCTATTAAAAGTAGGGCTAGTGTTATTAATTATGGTTATCATCTCACGTTTTCGTCATTAACTGAAACCAGCTATGATGCAATGCTCTGTCATTCTACTCTTTACAAACTCTAGAGGCAGAGTCGAGATTTACAGTACGAGTTAGAAAGGAAAGGTAATATCCAACTTCCCTGAAAGCAACTGACAACGCATAGAATCATAACTAACACTTAATCATACGATGTACCTTGCGAGCAGTTATGTTTGGTAGTTTAGCTTAATTATCTTAAATTAGCTTTCCTGTTTCACAATAGGAATTTCTGTTGATTTCAAGCACTTTGAGGACCAAATACTGCCGATTTCTACTTCGTTAATGATAGCACACAAGTTATACGTCGCTATACTTTAAATTTCACGCAAATCATGCTACGGGTTATTTTAATTCTGATTGGTTCACTGAAGGACATCAGTATGCTATACTTTTACCGATGACTGATACTTACTCAGAAGCTTTTTGAGATATTTCATCTTCAGTTAATAAGTTTTCTGTGGGAATTGAAATTTTCGACTTCTCAACACCAGATTTCGCACGCGTTGTTTGTTTCTTACTAGATGGCCCGGAGGTTGGTGCTTTAGTAGCACATTCTGAAGTAGTCTGCCCAGTGCCACTGGGTGCTGTATTAGGACGAGTGACCGGTGGTGCTGCACGACGTGGTGCAGCATTAGGTTTAGCAGAGGTAGACATATTTATTGAGGTGGTAGTTGGTTGATTACCTGTATTGTCAAAACCAAGTGTGAAACATATGAGAATCGGGATATCACTCTAATGATTAAAACGAAATTATAAAAAGTATCTAAATGCAAAAAGATTTGCGCTAGTGCATATATGTAGTCATCAATGTGAGAATGGGAAGCTTCTGCACCAAAGACGTCGAAGTTTGGGGAGGATAAATTATACTTCAGATAAATAACAAAAGGCAGATGCTGATCACATTCACTCGATCATAATCAAAGTAGAACGGAGTGCACACGTATGCTAGCTCAAGTTACCATATCGTGCTGATTATAATAATAACTGATGTCAATAGGGCATAATTATTCATCAACAATTTAATAACTTACGAACTGACTAATGGTAAACAGAAGTATGCAATTTTTGTGACACAGTAGCACAAAACTAATGTTTTTCAGTATGAACAATATTAAGTGTGTCGATATGAATGTGGAATAAGATAATATGATAAACGTAACGGTGAATCTAAAATCCATAGACTAAAATTATAATAGTGTTAGATATTTGCAGCTTCGTGAATAAGTATATTCGTTACAATCTTCTTTCTGACCGTTTGTAATCCTTTTGATATCTTCAGAGGTTCCAAATGCTTACAGGAAATAATTATAAATCTGGTTGGTCACCAGTTGTTACCTTTAGTGACAGAAATTAGCGATTGGTATTGGGATATTTTTGAACCATAAACAAGCAAAAATGCAGCAATACAGCTTCATATAACACCACGTACAAAACCAGCACCTATTTATTTGTGTAGGGGATTTGTGGATACCGTATTATTTCTACAGTTGAAATCACAAACTAATCTCAGCTAGACTACCAATAAAAACCTTCAAGCACTGTTACAAAGGATTAGAAAAACATCCATTTGTCGAGATGAAGATTGTCTCGAAATTTGTCAAAGTTAAAAATTTAACGTAAAGTGATTCGAAACTACTGTAAAAATTCAAGAGTTAAATATTGACACCACTTAGTATTTTCCTACTGGCTATTTCATCCAGAAATCTTGAGTTCTAGAAGTACCCCCCAGTTGCACAACTTCATTATTTGTAACTGATATAAACACTTATAACCAGTTTAATTTTTCAGTTTCAGGAAAGGTTTTAACCAATTCTAGGGACCTTAAGCATTCATATTATCCTACAACTTTTGCCCCAAAAATCACGCTTGTAAACCATATTTTAATTAGCTGGAATTACTATACATACTCAAAACTGATTCAATGAAGTTACTGAAATCAACATGATCACCAATTTAAAATTTTAGGAAAAGGAAAACATGTTCAAGATAGAGTAGATTATTTTAACTAGACCAGGAGCCTTCAAGCTTCTTTACCCACCACGCTAGCAAATTACAGCCTTACAGTTTAGTAGCCTAAATTGGTCTTAACAAATGTGAACTACGTTGGTTTACAATGAGACAATACATGATGAACAACTGTCAAGTAATGTGTGAGAAATATCATATGGTTATAAATACAAATTACAAAGTAAAATTTAACAGAAATGCTAAGCTAACCAGCGTTACTTGAATTATTAAGTTCAGATGCTATTTGTTCGCAGCATTCATTGATTTTTGCCAGCCGGATGGAGTCAAGTTCACTGAGGAAGGGTTGCATAGTTTTCGCTGACACAACAAACATTGCGGCACCAAGAGCAGCAAAACTACCTTCACGCACCTCGGGAACAGTGTCATTGCATGTGACACACAATGGTACGGTAAACGATTTCAAAATCTTTTTGTTTAGTGATGAAGTGGGACATTTTTTGAACACTCTACTTAAAATTAGGGCTGCTTCTGCACGTACACTAGGTGTTTTATGACTCAATGCAGCTACAATATCATCCACAAAATGATCTAGTGAAGTCTGAAATTGAAAAACAGAAACTGTGAGTGATTGAAGATAGTTTGGTAGTAACAGCAGAAGAGTAATGATGGCAACTCAAGGAGCAAGATTAAAACTGTCGATATTATAATTGGTACCAGAGTTTTACAATGAAGAGGCGTTTATGCCTCAAAACCGATACATAACAACATCAACTAAACCCTTATACTTCAGTTACCTTACGACGTAGTTGTAACTCATTATTAAATACGTGATCAGATCTAGCAGATATCTACATTATTCGAAGTAACACAATATTCAAACCTTCAAAAAAAATTCTCAATATTATTTATGCTTCAAGAGCGACAAAAGCTAACTGATGCTGTAAAGTTCCGCGTCGTTTTTATACAAAGATAATTTTATATATGAAGTGCCTGAGTCAACCAGACCTCTACATGCGACGGACAGATACAACGCAGAACTTCGTACGTAAGTACATCAGTTCAGGTTGCCATACCACATTAGCACAGAGACGCAACTGTCAGTTCAAATCCAAGAGTGATAGCGGTAGAGAAGTATTAGCAGTAATGGAGAAGATTAGGGAGCGAAGATATGATTCCAGAAGTATAATTCAGTAAGATAAATTTAGAACGAGAAAGGTAGCGATTATGAGGAATGCAGAAGCTTAGAATTTCATAGAACACAAAGAGTGGATGCACCTGCGCCATTGCAAACGATTTTGAGCCATGTCATTCAAGGTATCTAACCATCGATTACTAACAACTCTCGGACCCCAACCAGGTAGTCTACATCTACCAACATGACTCAGTCCACTTGTCAGTGACTTCATGGATTTCTGCCATGTTTTGGTCTGGCTGCCCTTAGCTTTCTTCCAACCTACTCCTACACCACAAAACATAGCTCGTTGCGGCAGTCGGTGGTTAGGCATACGTAACACATGTCCCAACCACCTCAACTGATGAAGTTTCACCACTTCATCTATTGATTTGCCATCCCTACCTAGAACTCGTTTCTTAACGACAGCATAGCTTATAAGGTTGTCCCATGATACACGAGCAATGCTCCGGAGACACCGATGATCAAAGACTAGTAACCTACGAAAATCCTCTACTCTTACGGCCATGTTTTGCTTCCGTATAGTAGGACGGAGCGAACTGCTGCACGGTTCACTCGTCCTTTGGTTAGAGAGCGGATATCTCGCCATAGGTGACGCAGGTTGGCAAAAGCCAATCGAGCCTTCTGTATCTGTGCTGAGATTTCGTCAGTCACCAGGCCATCAACACTGATGAGACTCCCAAGATAAGTGAAGCGGTCTACACGTTCGATTACTTCACTCCTTATCACTAGTTCAGGTGCCGATGAAACCCAATCTTGAAGCAACATTTAGCATTTCGAGGGTGAGAACCGCATCCCGAACATGCTTGCATTGTTGCTTATGGTAGTCAGAAGACTGCATTTTGTCAGCGTCCTCACCGAATAGAACTATGTCATCGGCATATTCTAGGTCAGTAAGCGATTTTCCTGGTAGAAAGTCGACTCCTAAAAAGTCAGACGAGGATAATGTTATATCTTGAAGCATGACTATGACAAAATTAAACAGGAATGGGGAAAGTGGACATCCCTGACGGACACCACTTGAAGTAAAGAATTCCTTTGACATTTCGCCATAAGCTCTCACCCGACCAGTAGTTTTAGAGTAGAGAAATAGCGAGAAATACATGTAATTTCATTGGTCTCAGTTTAGAGACCGTTGCAGAAATTACACTGCAAAGAACAGATACTACACATGATCTTAGCTCAGAGAGCCGAGAGTAGAGTAGAGAGCTTGTTTGAGGTTAATGTAATTCTTTGGAACATCTTTCAAAGACAGACACTGCCACACAACCTCACGATCAACAGAGTCGAATGCCGCCAGGAAGACAACTATTGTGTGTCTGTGTTCCAGGACCTGTCGTAGTGTGAAGATATGGTCTATACATCTAAGTCCAGGTCGAAAACAAGCCTGGTTTTTTCGAGTCTGCTCTTCACGAGAACTAGTTAGGCGTCTAAGGATAATCGAGGCTATCAATTTAGAAACTATATTAGTTAGACTTATTCCCCTGTGATTGTCAGGATGAGTCAAAATTGTACTTCAAAGAATACAAGACAAAATACCTCATTAACCGACATTAGATGCAACTATTAATTTATCACAAGTGAGTACTCTGCACCTCTATCATATACTACAGAATTTTCAGGTGACATAAAACTCACTAAAAAAGAATGCCAAGTACGAACTAGCTTGACCATAACTGAAGCTACATAAAGTAGATGCAAATACGTGTTGAAATGATACACTAGTGCTATTTTTGGGAAATGAATGAAATGGATTAGGTTGTAAACAGACTTATATATCTACATGAGGTATAATTAGAGTACTCATTCAAAATACCGAAAAAATTCAGACATTAATATGTTCTATTACTATAGCCTTGAAAGACAAAATTGTGTGCAAATCACTCAGCATAAATCAATAAAATGTGAAATAAATATCACTAGATATTGATACAAAACAACTAGCGTGAGAATGTGATATACATTTTCAAAAATAAAAAGCAAGGGGGAGGCAATCACAACGATGATGCTTATATTATAGTTTTTTTAAAAGTCATTTTCGTATGTGAATATTTTACAGAGTGAGAAGCGTGTTCAACATAAGATCAAGTAGCGTCTGAAATCACCAGATTTAAAAATAGGTGATACTGTATTATATATATGATCCAAAAAGCAGATTTGTATGGTATCTAAAACTTTCACATTAAACTAATAAACTAGAAAAAGAACCTAATACTTGTCACCCTAACAATCACTCAACCTTATATGTATGTCAGTAAAGTTATTTACCTACATTGGTCGCTACACGACAACCCAACTGGGCCCAACCACATCAAACTATATTTCAAGAATTGGAATCTGAATTAATCTATGGAAAGATATCTTGGAAAAGAAACCAAATGAAAATGAGGCCTAATAAACTAAAATAATAATATGAAATGATGAAAATTGATACTATTTATGAACAAGCAAACATACCGAAGATACAGCACCATCAGCGCATTCTCTTAGAGCTTGAACAACATTGGGTTTCTTTTCTTTAAACTTTCCCAAACACGCTTGTAGGGTCTGTTGAGCGTAGGGGCTGAATTTAGATTTTAATCCTCTTGCTATTTGCCCCAAAATTTTAGCAGCAAGAGCCACTAGAATTATGTTCGTATCTTTATTTACAACCTGCCGATAAGAGACACGATTAGGTCAGACGTACCTGAATTAGGCTTTTCACAAGGTCTGTGAAATCACCTGGAACGATTCGAGGAACATTCGTAATTTTCTCAATTGCTTCTAAAGCATCACGCCGATCTTGCCACTTCTTTTCCCCCTGAAAGAAAGATTAAGCTAATTAATAGGAACTCACTATTTGTTGCCAGTACTCGTTGGGAATTTTATTAAGAACTTCAACAGGAGTAATCATATCGTCCAAATCAATCTGGTTGGTTAGAGTTTCACCTGAAATAGCACCATTGCTAGGAGCGCTCTCAGTACCGGTATCTGAAATAATTTCTTTAGGTTTCTGACTACGCAAATATCTCAGTCGAACAGGTTTCCCAGGCGGAATGGAGTTGAATAATTCACATAACTCAGTCATCTGCAATCTACTTTTAAAATTACATTCGGTATACATACCACAACTAGTTTGATATCCTTCAATAGGTCTTTTGTGCTTACTCCCACCCATCTATAGACCTCAACGATGAGATTTTTGGTCTCGTTTCGAATCCCTTGGTCCCGATCATCAAGTAGTCGTCCAAACTCTTTAAAAAGAGGTTTGATTGGGACAACAGTTGGCCCAAAAAGACTGCGTACAAATAAGTAGTTAGTGACACCACTTACTTCAGAGCTTCACGAAGCGTCTGTAAACATCCGACAACAACCTTTGGATTTTTAGTTGATAAACCTTTCACAAGCTCTTCAGTTACTAATTCATGGCGCTCGATTTCTATCAGCATCAGGAGACACTCAATTGACTTGTCTTTTGTTTTCATTCGAGTAGAACCTAGGCACTTTGATATGATGCCAGAACAAATATCTCCAGCGCACCTTACAATAATAAGAGGAAACTCAAAAGTTACTTCGTAGCTGCAGCAGCTGTTTCTATGTATGCTAAAACTGCATCTAAAGCTTTTTCCTGAGCTCCAGCATGAGGATCAGTTACAAATTTCTTCATCAACACAACATATTCGCTAAAAACAGGACTTTTCTCATTTGTTTCTGTTGAAAATATTTTGAATGCTTCTTCGTATCCCGCCACACGTGCATTCCAGAGCTGGGATTATGATTAGGAAGGAAGAAAACTAAATACCTTGTGCTGTACTTTGGACACGGTGGGTAATTTCGACCAATCATCTTCTGCTGACATACTGGAAACCCAGCGCCCAAGTGAAACTAAAGAAAAACACAGTTTTATAAATTTGTTCATTATGAAATAAACTCCAATTATTAATTAAAAATTTGTTGCCTGACTCGAACTTGGTTACCGAGATACTTTCATTTGAATATTTATCCTTTGTTTCTGATTGGGTGGTTGCTTTAGTACTTGGTCACTGTTCCCTTTCTTTAGGAATAGGATCACAGGGCTAATCAGACTAATCAAAAATACGCGAGAAACTGAAAATCTAGAGTATGTATGTACATCACTTCAGGCTGCCGTACCACATTAGCACAGAAACACAATCGTCAATTCAATCCCACAGTAGTACATGAGGTAAAGTATTAGCGTTAATGAAGATTAGAGTTCGAAGATATGATTCGAAAAGTATAATTCAGTCAACTGAATTTAAAAACAGTAAGAAAGGGGTGACAAGGAATTGAGAATACAATCTCAGAGAACACAAAGAATGGATGCACGCGTACCACTGCAAAAGATTGTGAGCCATGTCATTCAGGGTCTCTAACTCTATTGCTAATGTATCGCGGACCCCGATTAAGTAGTCTACACCTACCAACATGGCCCAGTTCACTTGTCAGTGACTTTATGGGTTTGTGCCATGTTTGACTGCTCCTGCACCACAAAACAGCTCGTCAAAGCAGTCGGTGGTTACGCATACGTAACACATCCCCACAACCCCAACCGACTAAGTTTCACTAGTTCACTTATTGATCTACCATCCTTACCTAGTACACTTTTCCTAACCCCAGCATGTTTCGCAGCCATTTGGTAGGACGGAGCGAACTAATGAACAGTCTATCCGTCCTATGGTTAGCAAACGGATATTCCGCCTACGCAATAAGTGACGCAAGTTGGCAAAAGCCAATCGAGACTTCTGTATCTGTGCTGAGATTTCGTTAGTCACCAGGTAGTCAGTACTAATGAGACTTCCAGGATAAGTGAAACAGTCAACAATCTCAAGTACTTGACTTCCATCACTAGTTCAGGTGCTGATGAAAGTCAAACCTGAAGAAATATTTTTCATTTCAATGGGGAGAACCCCATCCCGAAAATGCTGTTGTTGCCAATGGTACTCAGAAGAGGAGCATATGTTTAAACTCAAATAATGCTCTAGTACGAGCACGTAGTTGTCTACGGCTTACTGGACGTAAGAAAGACACAAGGAAACTCCTCGAAGTTCTCTATTAAGACAAAAAAAGCCGAGAGTACATTTCAGGAGCAACTAGAAAAAGTTATGACCATACAAGTAATATCCTAATCTTTACTACTACCACCAATGCTGTTTCCATCCTTCACCACTTTTAATTTTGTCCTTACAATTTTGTATTGATGTGCTGATGGGATGTAGTAACTTGGACCGATGTACAAATGTACGGGGTTATATGTTGAGTATGACTAAATGGCGGGCTGAAGCTGTTTTCCAGTGATCAGCTCGGGAGGAATCGTCCTCCAAACTTCTGGCACGAAATTTAAACAAAGGGCTGTCTCTATATTGGTCGACTGTTTCTACCAACGACACAAAAATAGACTGGGAGGAAAGATGTTTCAGGGCTCTCAAAAATGTTAACCATCCAGATAATGAACTATTTTCAAGATCTTCGATTCGGGGGTATGAATTGATACTATTTTACTGGTTACATGTTTACGTTAGACAAAGATTACAAGTCAAATGTTCGATAAGAAAAATTTTCCATTTAGACGTACGAACCTATTTTCAAGGTATCACTTGATATTTACCTAGTCAGTGGTGGAACAAATTTCATTAATATCCGAACCTTGATGAAAAGCAACGAAGATAAATATGCAGATACACTAGTGGCTACACAAAAAGAAAACAGACTTCTGGAATATACCATATGAATTTACGGGTACATCTTATTTAGTAGGTAGTCGGTCTGATTACCTACCAACACAAAACCTAAACAATTCACGATCGAAATCTAGAGCCTATGGAGTGCTTGTTACCATTTTACGAAAATGCTTCCAAATATATACATTTTCGCATCAGATCAAAACCTGCTTAATCTAAAAGTAAATCTGCTAATTACTCTCAAGATGTCCATTACTACATCGGCTGTCTGCATGACACCGGCAGATGAATCGTTACAGTCGATTAGCAAACTGTCTTCTTATCCTGCAGATAACATTCGGAACAAAAGAAAGAAATAATTCCTGACAAATACAGAGACTTTAAAACTCACAATTCAAAAACCAGCCTTACAATCAGACCGCCTGTAGCTTGAGTTAAATATAACAAACCACAAGAACTGAGCTAGATTTTCCGTATCACGACAATGAACCAATATATTCTCTGCTTTTTAGAATTCCCGTCAATATGCTAACAGGCTAATGAAAATAGGTATAGCTATCAACGAAAAAAATTTTGTCTAGAGTCATCCTTAAGGAGGATAGTGCTTTTCGACACTGATTATCTATCTAATATACGTTGAATCACCTTCATTACTGACTTCTGGTTTTCTGACCATGAGATGCATGATTAGATAGGTGTTTTGGATAAAAGAGTTGTCAAACCATATGCATATTTCATACTTATTACCCCGAAAATCACAACTTAACTATCGGAAATTAGGACTCTTACATCCATCATCTTTCAGTTCATGCTATTATGACCTTGTAACATCGGAGTTCAGTTCTGCTATGCTGAAGCCAACTTTTGCGAGCACTCTGCGGCGTGTCCTCAGGTGCGACTCCTCACAGCAGTGTAAGCGCAACCGTGAGAGTCCAATAGATAAATCCGACTCACAGAGTGTACTGCCGATGCTTCCGAACACGATGATAGTGAAAAAACGTGGTTGTTGTGTGTGGAGGTCAGACAATATCGACTTGCAACAAGTTTCTGCAGCAGTCATGCAGCTACGTATGAAAGATTCGATCGAGAAACGAAATTTCATTGACTGTCTTTCCAAGCAACAATTTCTAAATAAGCTTCTCTAATAAGTGCAAGCCGTTTCCATCCTAATTTGTAATAACTCTGTAAACAAAATGGCTGATTCTTCCTATCAGGATTTGAAGATCACCAGAACCCTAGTATTAGATGTTAAACGCGATGAATAAATTTTCCTATGAAACGAGATTATAGATCGTTCTACTATTATTGCTCATTTTCCTACACAAAATAATCGTAGCGGGTAGTCCCAAACTATCCGAAGAGGCTGTTCATCAAAATGATCTGTTTCTAGACAGCTAGAAGTGGATAAGTATAAGTGGTGCTGATGCCACAACAACTACGGCAAATACTTTAGAAAGCTAGGAAGAAGTATTTATAACATGAAATCTGTCACACCAAACATTTCGAGAAACTCCCTTATCGGCAGGCGTTGGTCACAAACTAAGCCAGTAGACACAGCCGGAGAATCCCATCTCTGTCGTCAGAACTCTCGTATATGAGGGCACGGCATTACTACATGAATACAGCAATGTCATATTAGAACGGACTCCTTCGATTTCCTCGGGCACATCACGGAAGTTGTTCGTCCTCCGAAATATAGGGTAGTTTCCATTATTAATGACTGAAAATCAGGTACTATAAAGTGACTACGCGAGCTTTTATCATCAGTTTATTCTGAATAGCACTTCTGTTGTCAGAACCTCAACTTTAGAGCCTTATAGAAATGCAAAAATCATCAACACTGCGGCGAAAGCTATTCCACACTAACCTAGAGTATTGACAAGTCAACTATATTGGCACAACTTTACACTCCTACCCATGTATTTTTCTATGAGGGAATCTGTGAATCCACCTTTTTATTTATCACTAAATCATGACCTTTTCTCCTAGCCCGTTTTTAGATAGATCTCTCCTAGACAGTCCTGACAAATGAACCATATCTCGCAGGCTTACCTCAGATATAGAACATATTTCTGCGAAAGTAGACTTGATTTCTGGTGCCTTGCTTCATGTAACGTCCTGAAAACTTTTTGAGGCAATCAACTTTATGAAAATCACTCAGCTTCAGAATGAACAGATAGATTCTCAGCATTCTTCAACAATTCTGAGAGCAAAGTCAAACAGATGGGAATAGACAAGGAAACGTTACTTCGTATGTGATTGTCTTTTACAAAATATACCTTCTTGCTGATGGTCTTTCTCGCTATATCATGGTACGTATTCACTTATATAGCCCTTTTCTCCGACAGTTAGCAGACTTACGTCACTACGAGTTTATTCCGACTTACGCTCCAATTCTTAGTTAATTCTTTTCCAGAAAAGACGAAGAAGACGAAAAGCATGGAGCAATCACTGTTTATAGAAATTCCTACTATTACCATTTTGTGACACAGTGAGATGCATCATCAATGCCCCTATAGTATAGGAGCGATTTGTAGTGGCAAATAAATCCATAAAATATCAGCTCTTAAAATCGTTTACATTAATGTAAATCTCACTGGTTTCACTGAATACAGATTATCTAAAGGTTCCGAATAATGTACCTGCATCAGATTACTGCTGAGTACCTCGAATTCCGTATCCGTTCTAAACATTATGTCTACCTAGGTCAAATACTGTTTGACTGACAAGTCATCTTCTTGTCATATGTCATAGCTTTTTCATGCAATACTTGTAGTTCGAATGACCTTGTATGATGATTAGAAGTATTTGAATTTTAGGATAAACTAATAATCCCAGAAATACGTAAGTGGATCAAGAACTACAAGATAAGCGCGAACGAATGTACTGTATTTAGAATTCGAAATCAAGCATTCAACAACAACCGAGAAGTCACTAGTTCATCCAAACACCACATCCGCCACAGCTTAAATTGGAATCCAAGTGTCTGTAATCAATTGTACGTCTTCTTCTCAAATTCATCTTGTGTCTGTCCGACAATGTATTGGGTAAAGACTCTGTATTATCTAGAATGCTCTCATTAGTATTAGAATTAACAACCGAAATTCGAACAGACTCACCTGGTTCCTGGAATTGTATTTGATCAACATGTCGATTGTGT